CAAAAATTTAATAGTACCTCAAATATTTATATATATATATATATATATATATATGATCCAATCAAAATTTTAATGGTCTAACTATTAGATTTTTTTCCATAAATAATAAACTTTTTAACTAAAGTAATTATTTTAAAACCTCTGGTTACTTAATAAATAAAATTAAACCAATTAAATCTCTCAAACAATCCAAATAAATTATTTAACATAATTTTGATCGGTATAAATATAATATATCTCATAAATAACAGATTTTTAATTAAAAATTAATTTTTGAATACTAAAATCAACAAATTGACAAATCTAAACTGATAGAAATGATTTATTATAACAGATATATAATACTATGGTTAACACTCATCAAAATTAAATACTTGCTCCAAACTCTATACTAAAAATGTCCTCTATACAACACAAAATTACTATCATTAGATAGATCTAACGAGTAGAATAATTTTTATGAAGGAAGTTTTGTAATTAGAAGTAATTTTACTTACCAAAATAATCTGTAACGATAGGGGAAAAAAAAAAGGACAGAGAGCAACGCTGTGAGGGGGAAGAGAGAGGAAAAGAAAAATGACAAACGGGCTAGCGGTAAAAGAAAACGTTCGAGATGAACTGAAGTTAAAGACCCTCTTTAAAACAGAAAAAATAACAGTTTGAAACCTCATTTTTTTAATATTTAAATATTTAAATCCTTGGGATAAAGATTAAAATGTTACATTGTTATTTGGTTAGTTTGTAAATTTTTTTTCTTTAATAAATACTCCTGGCCAGGAGAGCTTGTAATGAATGGTTGTAATTTAGGTCATTTTTTTATAAATATAAAATAACAAATTAGAGGGAAAAAAAGAGAATGAACTGATGCATTTTTATTGAAATTTTGATTAACTGAATGATCCTTTAAACAGGCAAATTACGTGATAAATAAATCATAAAAAATAACAAGCCCACCTCCTAAAAGTTAGGCACAACTCACAATATGGAAAAATGAAAAACTACTAAAATATGATATCGCCAAAATCATGCAACAAATTAAATATTCAATGGGAAAATGGAATGGTGCGGATCATAGGTAATTTCATGAATGGCTAAAGCATACATTTGGCACTTTAACTTTGTACAAGGTTTCAATTTAGTCTCTGAACTTTTAAAAGTATGCTTTTAGTTCTTTAATCCTAAAATTCTTTAAAAAAATAATGACATTAAAATCTTAAATATTGATAAAATATTCTTAAATATTAATATATTAAGTTTAATTTTCAAAACGTCCATGATTGCTAGAAAAAATTATCATTAGAGCCCAATGATTTTAAGGTTAAAGGACCAAATGTATGCTTTTTAAAGTTAATGGACCAAATTAAGACTTTGTGCAAAGTTAAAGAACCAAAAGTATACTTTAATGTTTCATGAATAATTCAAAGAAATTAAAATAAATTTATTCCCAACAATCCCTCCGTTAAACTAATCAATGTTTGCAAACATTTAGTTTATGTATAAGGATTTAAGCTAAACCCTCAATAACAACAACAAGCTTTATTCTATTAGATAGGGTTGATTACATTAATAGCACGATATTATTGTGCTTTATCATAACCAAATTTCTAGAAAGGTTGTTAGCCAAAGGGTCTCATTCAATGACCTCATTGAATGTTCTCCTTAATCTTCTTTTACCCCTTTTTATTGGACTCTAAATTGTTTGATTTACCTTCCTCACTAGCATCTTCAATGACTTTCTCTACATATGCCCAAGCCACCTCAAACGATATTCAAATATTTTCTCTTTAACAGGCGTCATGCTTACTCTTGTTTTAATATTATATTTCGAATATTATATTTCTTATATAACCACACATCCATCTCAATATTTTCATTTTTGCTACTCCCAACTTTATGCTTTTGTTACCCGTCAGCTTAGCATCAAAACTCATTCCATGTTAAGACAAGCTTAGCCATTTTGTTCTTGAAAAAGGCGTGCGCCATCACGAAGGGGGAAACTTTTTCAAGATATATTTGTCATGTACATGCTTCCATTACAATGTATATATAGTGCAAGATGTGAAAAACGAGTTGTGCAATCCAAACTACTCATATAACCCTTCTCCCATTTCTATCACCCAATTAATCTACGCTTCGAAACCTCTCCTCTTCCTTTCTCTTCTTTTTTTAACTGTTAGATTAATATTTAACGGCTCATATTTAAATATTTATAAAACTATTATTAAAATATTAAATTATAAAAATAAATAAGTTATAAATTATAAACCATATTAAAATTTAATTCTAATGATTTGCAAGTGTACTAAATGTCTTTAAAAATTTTTTATAAATTATTTATCAAAATTAAAATCTGAACCGTTGAAATATGTTAATCTAACGGTTAAAAAAAGAATAGAAGGAAAGAGAATTGGAAGAGAAGAGGGGAAGTTTTGAATTGATTAATCTACGCGGTTGTGCAAAACATGGGCCCACTACAGTGTGGAGAAGACTCACATTATCCCACATGCTTCTCATTCCGTTCATGGCCGAAGGCCACACCATTCCCCTCCTCAACTTCAACGTGGTCCATATGCAGCCCACTTCGAACGCATGCTTGGGACTCTTCGAAGGGTAAGCTTTATGGTTTCTGACGGCTTCTTACGGTGGATTCCACACTCTATCTCCAAGTTCGTATTTCCAGATTGGTGTGCTGCGGAATGGGCTCTTATATTAGAGGATAGAGCCAGAAAAATAGGCCGAGCCTACCGGACTAACCCGTTTAGACCCGAAAATTATGAGAGCCGGGTTTAAATTTTTTTTACCTCAAATGAAAAACAAACTCTACAGGACTGGCTCTATAAGGTTAAGGACTTAAATGGGCCGGCCCGTTTAGGCCTTTTACAATTTTTTTTTGTTTTTTTAAAAACTTTTTATGTAATTATAATATTATTAATTTTTCTCATTGTTAATGATATTTTAAATGTTTAGTTATTATTATCATTTTAAAATTAAATTTCACAGAATAGTTCGATTTATTTAGTTTTAGACAATAATTTGTCCAATTAACTTTTTAAAAAATAGGTTCATTTGGACTTTAATAATGATTTGATTTATATTATATGTGTTGAAATTTTTAAACTATATATATCTGATAAAAGAGTATTTTTATACTTATATAATTTGTGATTCTATAATTTGAACTGAAAATTTATAAGTTTTAACAACAATGTTTCTCAAACTAAAGTAAAATAATAGCTAGACTGCAAATTCTAAAAGCAAAATTCGTATAAAGAAGAAAAACTTCATATTTTTGTTACGAAAGAAAAGTATACTTATGAAGAAGAGTTATTGATTATAGTGATGATAAAGTTTCAAAAGATTAATGATAGTGTATGTTTATTGTATATTTACATTATAGATGAAACTTTTGAATGTTATTATCTTGTTAATGAATGTTTTAGATCTTATTGGATGTTCATGGATATTCATATATAATGATATTTTGTAGTTGTGGCTTAATTTTATTCATATTTATGTCTTTTATTAATAATTTTATTGGTTTATTTTTATGTTTTTGGTAAAAAATGTGAGAAATATGAAAAATAACATTTTTTTTTAACAGGCCGAAAGCCTGTGGGTTGGCCCTGAACCAGTTAGCTTAAGGGCAGGGCCTAACAAATTGGGATATTTTTAAAGTTTCAGTCCTATAGGGTCGGTCCTTTTAAACCCGCCAGCCTTGTAGGGTCGAGCCGGCCTGTATTCCTACCTCTATAATAATGGAGGAGCCATTTGTAGAGAAGCTACCACACACACACGCACACACACACACACACACACATATATATATATATGATCTTCTATGGGCCCCACCCTAACGACAAGTCAGTCAAGTTTAGCCGGTTCCCATTGATCCAGCTCAACAACGACGCAAAACTCGAGTTTTGTAGCCAAGACCCAAAAAGTCTTTCTTTGGAGTTCTGTATCAACGTGCTTTCATCCACCGCGAAAGCTCTGGAATGGTGGTGAAGAGCTTTTATGAGATGGATCCTGTGTTCGTTGATTATATGAACCCCACCACCAGAAACCATATTATTGTGTTGGTCGCTTTGTCTGGCCGAAGAACCAAAGTATAAGGTTAGTGAAGAATCAAGAAAACCAAGATGGACGGATTAGTTAGACAAGAACTAGGAAATTCTGTACGTCACGTTTGGTGAGAGTTTTGGCAAGGAACAAATGCTGACGACACTGGTAACCATTTTTGAGCATTGAGATATTCGTACCAAACCAAAGAAAATTCATGAACGTTGGGAGACGCCCAAGCTTGTTTCTGTCATATTGAACTCTATTTGTAAAATTTGGAATGAAGATAATAGTGTTGTGTGTGTGGTGGAAAGTAAGCCGAGAATTTGATGAGAATCCTTCCACATTGATGATCATGACAGCCATAATATGCCTGCAAGAAATTCAAGAGCCACACCTATATTACTTGTGCGATAAAACTGAAAATTTGCGTGGGAATTAACTGAAGATTTACTACACAAATATGTAAGCTGTAAGGTGATTGATGAGACGTCACAATATTTTGAAAATTATGTCAATTTATAAAAAATATTAATTGGCCGCTATGATAATAAATAATAAAATAGTATGTTATAGAATGATAAATTCATGTACAAGAGGCAATTGGCTCCATTGATATAAATAGAATTTAATTTCTTTCTAGAGTTTAAGATTTTCTGTTAATTTTTAGTTGTTATGATTTAAAAATACACTATACTTTTACTTTTCTTGATTTAGACATAAAAAACTTGTCATTCAAAAATAAAAAAATGCTTATGTTGTCGTTTGGGGGAAAATTGTTCAAAACACGTGTTTCTGTGCATGTTAAACTAAATAGTTCAAGATGTGAACATCAGTGCTAATCTACCATATGAATACACACATTTACATATATGGGAGTCAGAAAAGTTCCTATCAACTTTGCATCAAAGTCCATTCCTAGCTGTGAGCAAGATTTGGTGCTATAGCACAGAGAAATCAGGTTCATCTGGCTTGAACAATTGGGGCACAGGATCACTGCCTTGAACTGCTTTATGGCCTATAGTCCCTTTCTTTGCATTTGCAGCAAACTTGGAAGCCATAACTGTAGCAGCAAGAGCCTGAGTCCCAATTATGGCGTCCCCTGATGAGCCCTCCAACTCAAGCAGGTCGCCATAACTAGTTTCTCCCTCTGGTTTTGCAATAAAGTAGAGGCCCTCTCTTAGGGATAACTCCCTAGATGCCTTGCGTTTCTTATACCTTCTCCAAGAAGCCTCTATTATGCAAGCTGCCCAAGCCCTCCATTGATGGGAGTAATACCTAAAAGCATGCTGAAGTTTCTTACTATGAAGGCGCTTGAACTGAGCCGCCACAACTTTGAGATCATCTGCCTGTAATGCGAAAGCTTCGACTTCAGTAAGAGCCCTAACAGTTCGGGTTGAAGAAGGAAGGTTCGAGCTGGAGTTTGGCATTAAAGCCCATGTCAATAGTTCCTCGCCGCAAAAGTCTCCAGGTCTGAGGGTAATGGAATTAAAGAACCCGGACCTTCCACCATTAGTCGTGGAGCTTTCTAGTTGGCCTCTAATGATGAACACCATTTCATTCACCGGATCACCCTCTCGAAAAATGCAGGTTCCTTCAGTGCTTAGGGACGACACAAGGTGTTCACAAATGGCATCAAGGAGTTGATCATCCATCTGTGAGAAGAAGGGAACCTGAACAAACAAATTTCTAAATAAGCACCAAAATATTTAAGTAGAGAACCGATCATGTGATTAACACATGTATGAAGGCAAACATACGCGTCGAACAAGAGCGAGACACAAGTGGCGTTGAATTTCACGACGAAGATCCAAAGGTAATGAAAGCAATATGGATTTCTCATCAACTCCTCTTGTTGCAAGCCATTTATATTGAACAAAGCGACGAACACGCTCTTGCAAATCTGGAGGTAACTGGCGGTGTCTCATCCATTCCTCAGTATCTCTCTTCCTAATCCTCCATTCTTCAAGTCTTGCTGACATTGACTCTAAATATGTCTTCAGGAGGGGAAAAATCCTCATTAACAAAAATCAGCATTTCAATACTAAAAAATGAAAACAAAAGGGAAATGTTTTGCAATTTTGTGGCCCCTAGGATTAATTTTATAAAGGGGAGAGTGAGCAAAGAATAATACTAGTTGGAAATTCGTACCTGCATGTTTCCTATCAAAAGTGCAAAGAGAACTAATCCAACAACGCATAGCATGATGGAAAAAAGTGTTTCACCAATAAATACAGTGGTGTCCAAGTTTTGTCCGTATGAGCTGTGGTGGAAAAAATCTTGTGAGTTCTAATATTTGAACATACATGTGGTAATGTATAAATTGCAGGCGATACGCCTGGACAGCATAATAGGGTAAATAATACAAAGTTAGCATAGAAATTGAAAGAATGGTCCAGGAATTCTATTGCAACCCCAATCTCAGTGATCGTTGAATTCCCTAAAAAACTCTTTACCATACGAGAGATGACTACTATTTATTAGTAATATTGATATAAAAAAGACATGCAATGTAATAAATTTATATAATGATAATCCTTCATCTACCTTCAGCTTTCAAAACAAGAAGTTGGGCCATACAAGGGGGAATGGGTATGCCCAAGATGTTTTACTATTATAAGTTGTCCGGGAAAGTACCTTAAATTTCTAATACCCCACCAAAGACAATAGAAAAATCTCTCACTGAAACTGCCAGTAGCAACAGCCTTCCTGAAAGCATCTTGAAACATCCCAAACGAATATTTGTTATTTCCGCTCTTTACATCGCAACTCTTAACAACATTGGTGACATTTAGCCAGTATTGCCTATCGGGGTTGTCCAAAGTCCCGCAATCAAGATAACTTACAAGGCAAGACAGGGTTTGTAATTCGTTCTCAGCTTTGCACTCTTCAGTCCAACAGTTTAATTGTCGTGCTATTGCGGATAAGTACCAAGTTGCTCCTACAACCTATCCCAACATGAACAAACAATGTAAACAAAAAACAAGCTCTAGGAAAGAGTAAAGGAAGGGCTAAATGGGGCAAGCTAGCTTTAGGAGATTACGTGACTGGCTAGCATGTAAAGTAGAAGATTATATGCAGCTCCAGTCCATGGAGTCTTGGCAACAACACCAGAGGTTTTGACAATACGCTTGTTTAGTGGGAAGATAAGAAACAGTCTAGGAACATATTGAATAAGCACGAAAAGAGCAAGAGTGATGTGGGCGTGGTCAGCCGAGGATGATGGAACCACCAACCAAATGACAATCTGCAAGGGAAAGCCGAAATAACTTGAATATTTTTTCTGAAGTTTCGAGAAATGAGCATTGCGAGAAGGGGGAAAAAAAGATATTGACATGACCTGGGGTAGTGGAAGGGTTGCGGCAAGGTCGATAACAAAATCCGACCTCAAGTAGCGTCTGGCAATTTCTCGGGCATCGGTAACCAGCTCACCCCGACCAAAAATCCTGGAATTTGGGGCCACGAAGGCTGTCCGAAATTTCATGATCATGTGGAGCGCATAGAAAAGGTCAGAGAAAGAGCGTAGAAGAGTAACGATGATGCTCAATCCTGTACTGGTTTGTAAACAACCGGGGCCTCCGATGTTGGGCAGATATAAGTAAAGGGGGTCGATGAAAAGCGCAATGAGACTGGTAACGAGGAAGATCCTGTTCCAACGTGCAACGATGTCGCTGTCGGGGTCGAGGATCTGATGACGCCATAGGATGAGGTAGGCGTGTTCCTCGTCGGTGGCGGCGCCGGAGGGCTTGGCTTGGAGTCGCCCGAATTGGCGGAATTTATGGGCAGGCGTAGATATTATTCTATACATCCTTCCATGGCGGATTCGGGGTGAACGGATTCCGCAGCCGAGAACGGAGAGAGGGGTACGGAGGGGACTTGCTCAGTCGCAGGAGAGAGAAGGCGGTGGGTTTGGTGAGAGTTTTGGCAGAAAAGGCGAACAAGAAGGAATAGACACTAACAACGATGGTAACCATTTTTGAGCATTGAGAAATTCGCGCCAAACCGAAGAAAATTCATGAACGCTGGGAGATACCTAGGCTTGTTTCTGTCGTTTTGAACTTTATTTGTAAAATTTGGAATGAAGATATTAGTGTTGTAAGTGTGATTGAAATTAAGCTTAGAATTTGACGAGAATCCTTCCACGTTGATGATCATGACAGCCATGATATGCTCGGATGAAATTCAAGTGCCACACGTATTTTACTTGGGGGATAAAACTAAAACTTTGTGAGGGAATTAACGGAAATTTCACTACACAAATATATAAGTTGTAAGGTGATGGATGAGGCGTCACAATATTTTCAAAATTATAAGAGTTTATAAAAAATATGTATTAACCGTTATGATAATAAGTAATTGTTATAAATAAAGAAGAATCATACAGAAAAAAAGAGGATCAATAAGAGAAAGTATTTCTCATTCCATTCAAAAGTGCTCAATACATTATACATGGCCTCTATTTATAGGCACAGCTTTGATAAAATCTATAGATTACATAATAATAAAAGATAATTGTGGGATATAGAGATAATGAGAGATATTGGAGATTATAGGAGATAATGAGAGATATATGGACATCCACAAAGATATTATTATATCCATAACATTCCTTCTTGGATGTCCAATATATATGAATGTGCCTTGTTAAAAAAACTTCAACCAGAAAAAACCCTGTGGAACAAAAACCTAGCAAAAGAAGAAGAGTACATCATTCATTAATGCACTATGTAATGCTGCCTCATTAAAAACCTCACTAGGAAAACCAAGTGGGATAAAACCATAGACAAAGAAAAAAGAGTACAGTGTGTATCAACTCCCCCTCTTGACAATATCAGTTGACATCTTCAAGCCTGGAAAGTCTAATATAATGAACAAGCCTTTCAAATATTGTAGTGAGATAAAAACATCAAATATGAATTTTATAATCTTCTAAAAATCATGAGATGAGTAGTCCTTTTATGGTTTACCCACATGTCGATCATACTGTGATCTCTTGAAATGAGAATCAAACAAGAATGCTATCTATATAGCCATTAAGATTAGTCTTGGGTACCTTCAAATAAAATAATATTACCTCAACAGCACCCTTAAAGTAATGAATATTTTTAACTTCATTCTAACATCTTCATATTGATAAAAAAACTATATCATGCTAATCAGCAAATGATATATCAGGTTCTATATAGCCAGATAGAGATATAAATGCTTCAGTGATATTAAGATATGGTACTTCTAGATTACGTGTTTATTCATTACCTTCCAGAGGTCTAAATCGATCTTTAGTCCATATCTAAAGATCTTACAACTACTAAAACACATAATGGATGTCACTTATCTACATAATGGATATGACTTATCTATATGTATTCTTCCCAAAGCTTTCATTTCAAATTTTTTCTTTAAGTAATTCATAGCTTTGGAAAACTCATCAGGAATTTCGATGCTATCATCATAAATAGTATTGATAACAAACTCATTTTGAATATTTTCATAAATAGACAAGTTAAAATATGTTTATATCATTCTTTTAGTCGATATTAACAACATATACCTCATATAGAGACTTAATTGAATAGTGTTTTTGAGAACATAATTGTATGCTTCTAGAAACTTAAATCTTTCAATGATTTTCATACATTATGATCCAGATCTGTTCATGTATTGAATCGTTTGAATTTATATAAGGATTTGAATCCTAGGATTCACATATAATTTCACTATAAAGTGAGTCATACGTTATAGTTATATATTTCTATGACGTATATGAAAAAACTTCATTTATTACTAGACTGCCAAATTGATAAGACATGTAATTTAATCCACCACAAGGCTTTATTGCTCTTTTTATTGTACAAATGCTTATTTACATGATACCAACATTACACTTCAAGTGCGTGGGCTAGGGATACACAAATCCCTTTTATATTGTGTCTTTTCTTTTCTGTTGGCCAACTATTTTTCTGTCTATATCTCATGACAGATTTATATAGAAGATACTAATTTGATCATATAATATCATCAATAAAATTATTGTTGACAATTTTATTCATTTATCGGTCCTCCTTTGTTTTATGACATAACATATCGAGATCTTTTTATTACTTTCAAACACTTAAACTTCTTCAGGGGTCAAATAGTTATATCTTAAACTCTTTTGGAATTTATACCTCCTTAGTATGATCATCATGATCATGTGCTCCTTTTTCTTTTCTTTTGAAACCAATCATACTCTCATGCTTTTAGTGTGTCTTCAATAATAGAAGCACTTTTAGCTGGAATATAAGAATTAAGAATTCTTATTTGAATCAATAATTGCATCTGGCAGATATTAGGAACTTCTAGTTCATACTACTATATTTGAGAATCTATATTTGATAGTAAAAATACATTCTATGTGTTCTTTTTTCCAACTACACATTTTCTTCCTCTCATATTGGGAACATGTAATGCAAGTCTCCCAAATCCATAAATATTCTTTAGAAATATTATTTTGTTTCATTTAGATACAAACAAGAATAAGAATATTCTTATCCAACAGTAATCCCAACTTACTTTTAATATCCATTTATGTGCATTATTACGGTGAAATAATAGATATTGCACATTCTAAGATGAAAAATATTTGGCTCTTGACCAAAAACCAATTATAATAGGAGAATTCCCAATACATTGTTGGTTTGATGCATTTATGTGCAAAAATATATAAAATCAATCATGCCAACACTCAAGCGGGAATTATATTATCATAAACTTTGGTCTTGCTACTTATGGAGACTTTTACTAAGCATATAATCATCAGCAACGTGAGAAACAATTACTAGCAATCTCAACAAGAATCATATCGATTTCATAATCAGGAACTTATATACTCAATGTAATTATTTGAACATATTTGCAAATTTCAGGTTGCAAATTAATCATAAACACCTGTGCCCATTTTATATATGCATCTTTCACTTATAAGTATTACTTTGGTTCACATGGTGTCTAAATGGGCCCATATATAAACTTGATACATTATAAATCTGCACAGATTTGATTTTGAGCACAGCTATTGATGTTCTCTTATTTAGTTCTTTTGAGAACAAATAGCACATAAAAATTCTTGAATCATATATCATTTTTAGAAAATTTTCTGGTTCTTTAATAAATCACAATGCATATTTTTCATGATATTTTACATTATTATGATTCAGAATGATCTGACAGGTCATGTCAAATTATAAATGCATAAACTTCTAGTTTATTGTAAAATTATTCCCAATTATTGGTAAACTTCTTGTTACCATATCATATTATTCATTTTTCACCTTAATACTTCACAAGGAATATATTATCAATTATGGATTTTATTTTCAAGATAATAAATCATGATATAGCTCTTCTAGAGCCTTATTTTTTATCTTTTACCCAATGATAAAAACTTGTGCACTCATGGAGGGTTGAGTGCCATTAACTCTTCTGGAGGCTTTTTCAAAAAGAATAGGAGATGTAAGGAATAATATTAATATTAGTGATAACAAATTCCATCCAAGATGATTCACACTTATATTCCAACAATCTCTCCCTCAAGTGTGAGTCATATAAATATATTTTTCTTATTTCTGTATTTCAAATAGAGTGAATACTATATAGTAAGCTAATAACATATCCTTAACTTGGAAATCCAAATGCTTCCTCATTCAGATATAATAATGGATTTCAATCCAATTGAGCTATCACCTTAAGACCTTTTGATAAACAAATATTCTAATATATATGTTTTTAGCTCATAATTTTCATTATCAATTCCTTTTCTGCTCACAAAAATAATGGAGGGAATTACATTAGTTATTCAAGAATTATATCGATTTTGTTACTAGTTTTTCAGGAACTGTATCAACATTTTATTATTAGTTCTTCTGGAACTATATCAATTTTTTTGGGATTACATATAGTTCTTCAAAAAATGTTATATATAGGTCTTCAGGAATTAACATATATAATTATTTCATTATATGATATACTTCACTTTTTATTATGCTTTTTCAAAACATGAAATATTTTTTGAACAAAACATATATATTTTCTCAATATTTCGTTATTCAAAAACTTTATTTTTTGTATATATTATGTAATACTTCAAAACTTATTCATAAATTTATAAATTCAATAGAAAGAGATCTATAAAGACTAAAATCAAACTATATTGTTATGAAGATTTGAATCATAAGCCTTCAGAGTTATTTGTAAGTCATTAGTCTTCAAGACTCCATATAATAAATATATATTTTTTTAAAGATTATTTGTGTCACTTAATATCTGAACCATAAGCCTTCAGGCTTTGGGGCTTTAAAAACATCATAAGTTATTATTTTTATGTCATTCAATAACATGAGTATAATAACTGTTGGCCATTTAGTAATAAAAAATTATAATATTAATAAATATCAAATTGAATGTCAAGAATTATATGAGAATAATATAAGGATAAAATTTAAGATTTATATAATAAGAAGTAAAATATAAATGTAACATGAAAAAGAAAAAAAAAGAAAAACTCTTGTACCAATACATCCTTCACTATATAGTCAATAGTTTCTCATAATAAAAGACATTTGAGCCATTAGTCTTATGGGTTATAATATTTATAGCCTTCAAATAAAAATTCTAATTATCATAATATTTTTTTTATAAACAAATCATATAATGATCTTCTAGAGAATCAAAACTATATGGCTTGAGGCCATTTAATTTTAAAAAAAAAATTAAAGATACATGGTATCTAACCATTTAGTTTCAAAATAAAAAAAAAATCAAAGATATATG